CTGACGAATTTAAAACCCTTATCTCTTGATGGCTCGGTGCTATATCCGCTCCTATTCTCGGTCTAGACGGCGCCTTGGGTGATAAACGAACGACAAAAACTCGCATTACTCATGATGACGTCAATCAACTTTGCACTCTTCCCACGACGAAATTAAATCTGAGCGAAATTAAATCTATCGGACCATAGTCTTGAGCGAACCGAAATGCCCAAACACAAATTTTCTAACCGGAACAAATAATGAAATATACAGGGTGACCTTCACTATCATGACAAGAAATTTTGAAATTTTTTAATGAAATTTGGCCCGAAATAAAACCACTCGTTACAGATAGTACGAATATAATGCCAAAAACCCGAAAGTTCTACGATATTCCGTTGCCGAGATCTTGATCGATTTACAAAAATTCCGACCAGCCGACAGTTAGTGAAACTATATACACCTAAGCTTCTTTTTGAGAATAAAAAATGCGCAAAGAGAATTTTAGTTGCAATAAGCAGCTATAGTCAAAACGGTACCTACGTACCTACATTCCCATTTGCCGCCAAAAATTGAAAGAAAAAGAAAAGGTAGGTACTTACGTTACACCCGAGAAGTTCGATGCGCATCGTCTTTCGAGTACTTAGCTAAAAGAAATAGATAAATGTATGACTTTCGAGGCAATATTTTGATTAGCTAAGCTGAGCCGCAGCAATTAAAAATTACACATTACCTAAACCATTGATTATACTGTAGTACATAATCAATGGCTAAACGCAAACCTGAGCAGGGAATCGTAAACAAAATCATAATTAAGTGTTACAGTAGATACTTGAAGTAAAAGCAAATAGAAATTAATTACGGTGGAGAAATTAACTATCGGTTGTTAATCATGTGAAATTGTTAAACGTGCAAGTAAAAAAGGGAAGATGGCGCATTCTTGTGGCAGATGTAGAATACCAAACGGAAACGAAGCAAGTACGGGAAATAGCTCGTCACCATTTTAGAATGATTCAGGACATCTTATCTAATTTCTTTTATTAACGACGATTTACGAAAACTGTAGATAACTCCGTTACACAGCAGCGACTGACATAAAACTAAAAGTAAACAATGCTAAAAGTAAACGCTCCAGCAATAAACGCCTTGAATGAAAGGACGGGATTTATGGACGGGATTACATTAGGAAAACAATTTTGAAGACAAAACTTATTTTCAGTGAAGGCGTAGATATCAAATAAGAAGCACAAGAACTTAGCACATAAGCATTTGTATATTCCACTAATTGCAGGTACAGGATCTACAGACATTATTAGAAAACAACGCTTCCGAAACGTGCCATTCGAAGAGCAAAGCATGAAATGAACGGTGGTGCTTATAATTCAGAAGGGGTGTCTCTATATAAATAAAAATGTATGTGAATGAGGTGAGGCGGCGCAGCTAAAAATGAATTTACTCCATATATTATAGACCGCTCTGTATACGATTCGCCTATTATATCGTTGCAACGATTTGCGATACATGAATTACTTGTTTTGGCTAATGTTGGCCTATTAAAGAAACTCAGTAGGCCTCTCTCTATAAGCAAATCGTATAGACAATGGTTAGCTCGCGTACCTACCTAGGTAGGTATGTATAAACTGAATAATAATTTATTTATTGTAACACGTCCTAGAAATGATGTTCGTTTACTTACCCTTTTACTACTTTTAGATCCACAAAGAGCTATAAGAGTTGCAGCGATATACCAATAGAAACTCCACACAGCCTTACTCACACCTTCACATAACATTTTTAAATACTTAGTGGTTGTTGTTCGTATTTGGACTGTTCAAAACAAATTAACTAATATTTTCTTTAATGAGCATTGTATAATTGGGTATACTTAAGTATAGGTACGATTTCTAAGGTTTAAGATCAAGGACATTTTTCTTTCTTAGTTTTTATATTTTTTTCGTTTTTAAATCGATATGGTCGATATGTGACAATAGGGGAGGACTTAGTGAAATGTTTAATATAAACTGTAAAGAACTGTGCATAAGTATGGAAAGGTCTGCGTGTATTAGATAATAAGATAACCAATTAATTTTGGCCAGATTACATCTAGAAAGACCTTGCAATCAGTACATCAACACAATGAACAACGCATAAATTACAAAGAATGTGAAGACGTCGAGTTGGAGTTTAATTATTCCAAGATAATTAATAGTACTCGTAGTAGTATCCTACTAATGAACGCAATTATTCATTTCTTTATAGCTCTAATATTCTTAAATAATATATGCCTTAACTGACCATGCCGCCCTCAAAAGACATCGGATTCAGCATCCAAATTTACCCTAAGGATCGAATGTGTAAAAGTGGCCATATGTACGACTTTTATGGGGCCCCTTCACGTGTACTACCGGAACGACGTGGCATCTGGCGCGTTGTGCAGTGTATCTACACGTTTGCGCCATTTCATTCATTCCATGGTGTGGTACTGTCGACAACAAGATGAGCTTAGTAAAAAGAAGACAAATTGCAGCTGTATTTCTTCACAAATATATGATGAATAATGTAAATGAAAAGCCGAAGAGGAAGAGATCCAAGCCATCGTATTTGAAAAGACAGCAATTCGGCAATTTGATTTTATTACAAGAAATTAGTAATATCAATCTAGAGGATTACCACAATTAGTGCCACACCGCACAGCACAAACAAACAAACCTACAAAAGGTTTGCTAATGTAGTCTATACTTTTTCCACTCCAATGTTTAAAAGCGCATCCTCTTCTAGCGGCGCGAAGGGAAAGCGCGAAACGAAACTACACGCTCGCATTTAGCGCGCGGAGGGTCTCGCGCCACGCCAGGAATTCAAGCATTCCTTCCGGGTGATGGCCTAAAACTTTTTTTAACGCGCAACGCGAGTACTCTCACGGCTTCATGCCTAATGCCTCACGGCTATCTCCGAAGGACCTCATTCCGATCGCTTTAGTTATTTGAAACTACGCCCATTGCGATTCGCATCTCTTTCACTAACAGGATTTATTTTTAGCAGCCAATAAAATCGACAGAAACTGACCCGATTTCCCACAGACTCGGCAAAAATAAAGCGCTCCGCAACACCTTGATCACTAGCGGATCTGCGCTCATGAGGATTCTTGTTAATTTTGTCGCGACTTTCCGATGCTTCCAACTTTGGCACGCAGTTAAATTGCCAGGGCTGTGCTCAGATACTATTCGGCTAAATCGGAACGGCAGAATCAATATTCACACTTGATTATGCGTTATGCGTTTTGAAGTGTGTGAGGACCTAGGTGAGGACATATTAATTACAGATACTTGTTTTGGTACTGTACAAATACATTTAATTTGTGAAATCTATACGTTTTCATAGCCGTGATTACAAGATTAGTTCGCCATGTGTATGTACGATCATCGACAAAAGTAATGATAATCGGAAGCTTACTGTCACTTAGGCAACCAACTATACTATATCTAAATTTTTGCGAATTCAAAACATCAAAATCCACCTACACCGCCAATGCGCACATCTTACTAATTTTGTTGAATTCTTATTTATTATCTTGCTAACCCTTTCTGCCGGTTACAGTTGTTATGGCAGGCCACCTCGATCTCTGGTTCGACAGATGACGCGATACGATCCCGTGTACGGTGGTGGGAGAGGCTACTTGATAGAATCTACCCTCTTAAACGGATGGGTACAATTTCGCAGGTCTTTGAAAACGAACGGCGGAATTCCCGAAACGTGCCTGGACGTCGGTACAAAGACAGAGAGTGATCCAAATACGTGCGGTATGCGGCCTCAGCTCTCCTCAGGGTAGTTAATCTGTGCCTCAGGTCAAGGATATCAATGAATAACGACCATTAAAGTAGGTACATGAATATACCTACGTGTCATCCTACGTGTTGTTTTGGAGTGCGTAAATAGAGACACCACTTGATCAATTGGCGATACGTTACCCATGCGTTTACCTTTAAATACAACGCAGTCACTTTACAAGAATGTTATTTTAGCAACTTTTAAACAATGTTAGTCTGTATATGAATTAAAGATTTGTCTTGAATTAGATTTGCACATGGTGCAGTTTGATGTTCATACAGGTTAATTGTAAAATGTAGCGTCACTTTTGCATTTACCTTCAGCGAGTACACTTCTTGTCAAAGTCAATTTTGGTGCAAATTTTGTGCTAAATGTAACGAAAGGTAATGTACTTAGTTTTAAATGTAATTCCTCAATATGTGTGTTATTTGCGTTTCAAATTCCCGATAGTGGGTCAGCTTGGGTACGAGTGAGTGCCACCTGGTGTTTTACAACGTAAGGAATCCGGCCATTGTTGAGTGCGAGGTTCGCGTTACTACGCTGCTATTCCGAGTTCGTGTTTGTCCCGGTTTTTGTTAGTGCGGAAGATTTTGACTTGGGTACATCACCCTCATGGTACCATGCGGTCTAAATTAAACCCAAATCAAAAATCGAAAAAATTTAACTAGAGTTAATCAAATAAACTGCTCTAGTGGGTTCCCGTTACAGGCTAACTTAACTAATTTTTCCGGTGAAAAGTTACAGGAGCATTTAGTCTCTTCTGAAACTGAAACAAATGGAATATAATGGTAACTTGTACTCAGGATTCTTACTAATTACATCAGGCAAATTTTCACAACTACAAAATGTACGTGCTGCTATGGCTAAAAAGTGTATTCTTTAATAATATGTAATGAAAACTAGGAATTACCATTTAAAAAATATGACTCCCTTGGCCATTGCACAAGTACGCTACTGACCACAAATTTAAAGCACGTAAAATGGTAGCAAACTGTTCATAATGTTAGATACCTACTATAAAAAGCTCCTTAAAAAATGTCGTTTTAAAGATAGATTCAGTGGTACAAACAAACCACAAAATTTCCATCCTAGATAATGTTAGGAAATTGTGAAATTGAAATAGGAGTAGGTAACTATTATGAAAGTAAATTAATTTATTTAAATGTACTAGTGCATCATATATACACAAAAATTGCTCTCTCTAGGCATAAAATGCGAATTAAAAAAATGTTTTCTTCATAAGAGTAATTTGCTAATAAAAAGTATTGTCTAAGCAATTAAGTATTTAGATAATCGTTAACAAATCAGTGCACAAAAACTATTTACAGCATATCAGATTTCATAAGTGGGAGGAGTCAGCGAATTTAAGGAATGTCTTGAGCAAACTGTAAATGATTTGTCATTATCGTTTTATAAACTGTAATAGCACAAAAGGAACTTCCGGTTGTAGGTATAAATGACCATTTCGTTTTATCCAAAGAATAACGAGCAATCTGTTCACTTTTGAAACCTGTCGCTGATTTTCTGGATTAGTCTCAAAGTTGCAGAGTTTTTGTAGAAATTTATGTCAAAAATACATCGCGCTTATTATCTGCAACGATGAAATTATAAAATAAGTTAGGTGAGATTAAACCAACAATTTCTGCTTAATTTCACCTGTTATTTTGTTGTTCAAATTACTACTCTTACAAAACCTATAGTTTTCAAATGCCTTTGCCGCCATTGCGCTTGCATTTTTACATTTTGGCAAATTCATTAGGAAAATGAAGTTTATTATCATCTATAATGGAAGCAACAGGGTATAATAATACTGGTTAACAATAACAAACTTCAAAATCGCTAATGTCTCAATAATGAAAGTAAAATTTAAGTACACTTCAGCTGATTTATCTATTTTTGAGGCGCTTCTACTATTATATTTCGAAAAATATTGATTTCATTTCTTATTAATCAATGAACAATAACAATCCTAACACAATTACCCACACATTCACCGTTAAAATCGTTTTTAAATTGACAACCATATAATTATTATATACGAATATAAAATTCTATTAATATTTAGCTTAATTAATCATATAATTAATACCTTGTATACTTAGACAGAAAATGCATAAAAATTTCGTAGCAACTAAAGTTCCTAAATCATGAGCATTGGTTTCTTTGGGACTCGTCGTCCGACTCTTCATTTTCGTTTAGTAGGGGACTCGCGTCGTGTATTTTAGTTTTGCTACCCCTTTGACTCTTTGAATGTTTTTTGGCTATCGGAAAACTGGGCACAAAACTCCCGCACGGCGTGTTCGGAGCGGAACGTGACAACCAACCCTTACTAGCTTTACCGAACACGCCCACTGTCTTACTGCTCGGTGAAACTTTACTTAGGTAATTGTAACTGGGCCCTTCACTTAAAGGCATGTAGAGCGTTTTAGACTTATTGCGGCTAAAACAACTTTTCGTTTTCACTTCGTGGCCATCGTTCGATGTATCGGAGTTAGGTGTGGGGCTCTTATTCTGAGGCAACTGCTGAATTTTGTCTAACAACTCGCGCAGCTCGCCCGTTGGACTGGTTGCTCTCGGAGGCGAGTCCGGCGTACCCAGATTTGCAAGACTGCTGATATCCGAACTAGTAATGCTGTTTACGACGCTATACTGTTGTATATCGTGAGAATGTGAGCTACTGGTCGTTACCGTACCTAAGGGTAAATGAGTTATTGTACTAGGAATGCACACAGATAAGTTTAGTAAATCGGAAAAATTATGATCTTCTTCTTGACTTTCGCAATCTATACTTGCGTATTCGTGTGAGGAGACTATGCGGTTCGTTTTCTTTGCGCTTTTATGTGCTACATTTAAAGGAGGAGAATAATCACAGTTAGTTTGATTTGTTTTTCTTGCAAACTCTTCGGGAGGTTTCGTTAGTAAAGTTTGCTGTGTGGTCTTCGCGTCGTGCATATAACAAGGATTACTCGTAATCGACACTTCTCTACTACAATTATGCAAATTTAGATTTGATGTGTTGGTATATTTATTGTTCATATTAGCCGAAGGCTGAGGCGCGGATACGTTTCCGGGCTGCGAGCATCCGCTAGGACTATGTTGAGCTAAGTGAAAGTCGTTACACGTCGCTGACGATATCGAACGAGGAAACTCTGAACTGGGCCTTGTTGGTATACTGTTGTTCACTTCCTCTAAACTCGCAGCCGAAGAGTATGGTGGCGGAATGATCGTGTTCGCCTAAAAGTACTCTAATTAACTCCTTTTCCCTTAAAATTTAAAGATATTTACTTCATTTGTGGCGTTGCAAATAAAGATAGATCCCAATGAATCCATTGTGCTCGTAGCGGATAAAGTTCCTGAAACATGCTATATTAATATGTCTTCCATTCACTGAAGCTACTTACCTACGGGTCTGACTATGTAATTTCTAAAATACTGAACCATTAGGTAACCCGTTGAGCCTCTTCCCAGTTTTTGATTGGACTCCATATTGTAACCGTTATAACTGAGTACTAACGGATATAGATCTGGTTTTGATGTTACCTGAGAACAATGAATAATTTCAAATCTTTTTCAAGGCATTTTGGCTCTTAAAATTACTGCAGTACCATATACCATGAGTAGGTACCATTAATTTAGTCGTTGTATGTAACAATACCAAAACGCGCTCCGCCATACACACTTATCCCGCAAAAAGTCGTCAGATGTTCCAGCGCGAAGCTATTGTTAAAATTTACGCGAAGGGACATTTTCGAATCACAGAAGCGTCTTGCAATTAAAAGCGGGAATACATAAATTGACATTAAAACTCATTGTGATAAACGAAGTTTTTTCGGATCGCTAACAGTAGGTAACGACTGGTTAAATGCAAGTTTCTCAGTTTTGTGCATAATCACAATTTCAAGTATTACATTCGCGAAATTTAAACCGGTTTACTTGGATTCGCGATTCATACGAACTTTTCTTCTGATAAACTTTGCGTTCATAACGAGGATAACGTGTCCGGCGCCGGTCGATGCAGAAAGTCAACTGTACCATCGAAGCGACCCGTGTCCATATTTTTAATGGAAGCGGCATTTTCCAAGGGAAGGGATCATTGCTACGAGAAGAGAACATTACCCACCTCAATTACTGTTTTACAATTTATTGATTTCTAGAAAGTAATGGTCGCGTATTTTTAGGAATTTGCACAAGTAATTTTGTTTGAAGCAATTTTAATATTCCTAAAGGAACCGACCTGCGAAACTTATTTGCACGAAACAAAGTTTGTATTGTATTTGTTGAAAAGAACCGAATCCAAATCAAGGATTTTCGTTATTTTGTTTCATTAGTTGGAAAATTTAATGTCAGTGATACCATTCCTTCGGTTGGATTAAAATTTTGTTTAGCATTAAGAAGTGTATATATTTTGAATGTACAAATAATTTATTATGTGGTAAACATGAATTCAATCAAATTTACCATGGACCCGTGAGTATGAGATAGGCATTGCATTCTTTTGTACTTCTTTTATAAGCCAAACTTCCGCAAGGTAAGACGAATAAAAAAACATTTTCATTAATGAGCCAGTGCCAGTGCAGTCAATTTCATTTAATGTAAGTGAGATCTTCAACCCTTGTAAATGTAACTAAACCAAACCCTTTACAATTTTTGTCGCCCCGCTAAAGGGCGCAAATTATAGACAAAAATAGAGTTTTTGATTACAATATTCTATCTATTACGCGAGCGTGTTTACGGAAATAGGCAGCGATATTAATTAATTAGGTCATACCAGTAGCGTTAACAAGCGCTTGGAAAGGTTTCAATAATTGATTTTTTTGTTGAAAGTTAGGATTATAATTTATTATTACCAGTGGTGGCGTTAAAATTTTTTTATAAAGAAGGGGCCCAACATTTTTTATTTTTCCCAAATCTTTGAGGTTTAGGAGGATACTAAGGTAGGTAGATTTTTATTATTGTATATGAGACTACGATAAAGATTAAGAAGGATACGAGAAAATTAATTCAAGAAAGAAATAATACACAAGGAATTCCTTAAGTTCAAATAAACAAGATAATGTCCCAAGAAATTTAAGACATTTCTGGAAGCTACGAAAGGAATTAAGAGTATATCAAAGACCCGAGAAGAAATAAAGGAAAGTCGTTTAGAAATTCAAGCAGGGCAAATAATCAAAATTGCAACTAGACTGGAAGACCAAGACAACTTGATACTACAGATGCAAGAGAAGCATGGGGATTAGAGCGAGTTGTGGGAGAAATCGAAGAGGGGGCCAAGAATAATAAAGAAAATTAACCAGCACGATATAGATATTTCAGATTTGAGGAATAAATGGGATAGAAATAAGTAAGTAATAGCAAAACCACACAAGATATTATAAGATTATTGATGTGTGGGAGTGGAATACAATATCTGCATACGAATTGCAATGGAAGAAATAGTAGCAATTCCATCATCTCGCTGCGTACTGTGAAACTTTGGCAGTTCATAACTTCAAAAGGGATGAGTTGCAAACAAGTAATTCACTCTGTGATGTATCAGAAACGTCAAACTTAATGGGCAGGTTATCTACAAAAAAAAAACGTTATTTTGCGTTACTTAGTATGGGCAAAATAACGTTTTCTACAGATAATCTGCATGTTAGTGATACATCACAAATGAATTATGCAGTTATGTGATTCAAATACTTACTAAGTGTTTTAAAAACGGATACGCTGTCATTTAACAATCTAAAATTAACATGTGCAGGAATTTCACGTACAGGGAGATCAATAATATATGCTGCACCGCTCTTATAAAATATCACATTAGTAATCATTTGCCGCAACCAGGTATATGTGTACCAATACAAAACATAACCTATAATTTTACAAACCAAAACCATGATTTGTGATTCTTATTCGAATACTTTCGTCCCTTTCAAAACGGCTTTTTTCAAGACTACCAGTTTCTTTCGAATATTTACAAGGTGGGTAAATTACTTGTAAATTACAAACAAACGTTTTTTTAGTTGTAGCGTGTAATAGGCAATAGGTTTACTCTGACAAGCCTTTTACTTTAGAAGAGAATAAGATGCGTTCGCTGTCCTGTTTCCGTAATGGAACTAAAGACGAAAGTGGAGTTTGGGAGTACTCGATACGTTTGTGTATACAGGAGTTTCGATAAACGATTGTCAACCATGACGAGGATTACAACAATATACGCCGAAATGCTCATCGTCTACTTGAGCGGTTTAACATACAGGAAGTCTTGCTTCTGGGAAGTCACCTGGCCGCTTAGTGATTGCTAATAAGGAGGTTGTAAAAGATGTTCTTGCTCGTCTTGAGCAAAGTCGGAAAAAGCAGCTGCGACAATTTGTCCCACTAACGGACATCTCATACGGAACGTGTGACGCGATTGCCTGGAGAAAATTGTACTTCTATCCTTTAAAGTAACCGTGTTACAAGAACTCATCGTCCAGACTTGCAAAGCCGTCTAAATTATTGCATGCAAATTTACGAGATGGCAACGTATTCGAAATCGTTTACACACCATTGCCGAATTCCGAGCAGGTATAGAAGCTACCGTTTGAAACATTACGCAACAGCACTTACATGCCGGCTTCGAAAACATGAAGAAAAGAGTGAATCCCTGTCTTAATAATGGTGGCGAGCACTTCGAACAGTTGTTATAGTGTGTATGTAATTTACCCAATTACTTCGATATTAACGAGTTGTAAAAGAAATAAAATCGTTTCAATTTTTGTAGTAATTCGTTATTCGTGTAGTTCCACATAATTTGGAAACTTACAAGGTGGTTAAATCGTTGATTTAGGTTAAATATGGTTAAACGTCAAAAGTTTACTTTAAGGTTATGTTTTAGTATTGGTGCACCAGGCCTGTTGCGGCAAATGATTACTAACGTCATCATTTATTGAAGCGGCGCAGCAACTCAATATTGATCGCACTGTATAATGCCCATTAAATTTTATCCCCTCCAACTTTATTTGTAAGTAAATATGGTAAGTATCTGGTTGGCCATCTAAAAGTCGCTTGGAATTCCCCCAATCTTTCGATGAACGTAATGAAGGAACACGCTACAATGGTGGTCCTTATTGAAATATGGCTTCGAAATTTAAATATTTCAAAAAGTGTCAATAAAATCGTGATTGTATACAATAGTATATTGAAAGACAAGTGTTACAATGCGACCTATTGTAATACGACTATCTTGTGGCACGAGTGGCGACGCGAAGCGTAGCCACGAGTGTCCGCAAGATAGAAGTATTACAATAAAGCATTGTAACACGCGTTTTTCATACTATTTTTTCTATTTCGGTGCTTTAATTTAATTTAAAAAATCATAATCAGAAGCTATAGGGAACATTAGAACTAACATGTTTTATGTTGGGAACACTTTTTATGCCGTTAAGTTTTAGGTTGGCAGCGTAGTAAGACCATATATATAAGAGAAGTATATATATGAGTAAGACTGACATTTTGAAGTTCAAACATAGAAGTATTGTACCTACTTGTACTAACTAGTAACTGCCAACTTAAGAGATGCAGATGAGTTACCAAAAAAAAAACGACTATAATCACTGTCTTTGTACAACTGTTTTCGGCCGAAAACAGTTGTACAAAATCATCATTGTGACACCGAAATAGAAAAACCCCTTTTTAAAACACACTTGATTCGGTCATGGAAAAGTATTTGCCGTTCTACCAATTTACGAAACTTCTTTCAAGTCTCGTGAATTTATTGCTTACAGTTACATTTAAAAATAGAACTTTTAAGTTTAAGTTCGAAAATCGAAGTACATGTATAGCTCAAAATGACATGAAGTAAAATAAAGTAAATACCTCAGAATACGGCGGAGGGGCTTGATGGAAGCTATTGCATCTGCTGTAGTGCGGCGGTGCATAACACGATCCATTGGAATCAGGTTCGGAAGCTCTATCGTCTCGTCCAGAGTTACCGCAGCATAAGCCTCTTTGACTGTGCCTTCTCCATAACGAGCACGCGCATAAAATTCCGGCAACCGTTGCTGTTACTGCGGCCCAAAAATACCTACAAAATCGATAATTTTAATACGCTTCTAATGCAATATGCAATATAATTACCAATGACCAAGAAAAAGGGGGTTAAGCATGCTTGTGGTAGGCAAAGTTGGTGGTCGGTAGGATACGGACGGTGCAAGTAAATAACAACAGCCCTGCTTGCAACATTCTTTAGGTGGGGAACAATAATGACCCCCATCACAATTCCTCAATGGCACCTGCTACATTAGTTTAATTACAACGATAATATCGGCACCCTTTTATCTTACTGTTACAGACGCCATCATAAGCACGGATGTTGCTCTGACGCTACCAAAATAGCGTAAGCGTCTGGAAACATTTCGCAGATCGATTATCAGTTTTACGCGGAAAGGTTCACGTAAATGATAATTTAATTAATTTCGGAAGGCGATTCTGAAATGTCTATTTTCTGTACTCGTTTTATGACGTAAATTGTACCTTTTATCTACAATCTATCCATTAAGGTTAGTGGAACGAGTAAAGGGTTAAATGAAATAAGAACGTTGACAAGGAAACCGGCACGCGCGAGGTCAGGGAAAGTCCAGGCGCCACAGCTTCAACTCCTTGGCGCCGCTTTTCTTGGCGTCTGGATGTTTCTGGGGACACATATGACTTCTTCTCTGCAGCGGCACCCACCTTTCTGTAACAAAGGTACGTTATTAGGCTCAATCTGCATATTTAGAGGCACGCATCAGGCCCACTATCGATTTGTGGAAAATAAATATGAGACAATTTGATCAAAACAAAGTAAGTGGAATAGTTCGTTGATTCATAATTACAAAATCGATGCAACGTTTTCTTATCCGTCGGTAAATTGAGTTCGTTAGATTTCTAATAATGGCATTATTGACGTGTTTTTGGCTTATTAGAGATACAGCAACTATTTTTTCTACGTTACGACTGCGTATCGGATTATTATAAAGGTCCTGTGGGAACAGGACACATTTTTAGCTCAAAAATACATTTTGCAGACGCTATCGTTAGTATAATAAATCGTATCTATTTACTACATCAAACGTGAAGGTGTCGCTTTCTCATGTGCGAAAATGAGAAGTATTGAATTTAAAATTGTTAAATATATGTGCAGATATTTAAGGTACTTAGTGCCCACTGACAAATACCGTTCTGTATATATGTCATGTAATTTCCACTCTAAAACAAAATTATTACCATAGAATTGTGCTTTAGTAAAAGAGATACCTAGATATAATTCAGCGTTATTCATCAAGTCATCAAGTTATAGGTCCAGATATGCTATAACTACGCCGGCACATGCACATTTTATTTGGAGACGCTTTTTTCACCAAGTTTCGAATCATCTGGAGAGCAAAATAGTAGTCTGCGGTCATAAACAAAATGAGTGAATAGAAAATTTATCCCGGGAAGATGCACAAGCTGAAGATAAAGCAAAAGTATATTGAAGGACAAGTATTACAATAAAGCATTGTAACACGTGTTTTTCATACTATTTTTTCTATTTCGGGGCTTTAATTTAATTAAAAAGTAATTATGAAAAACTACAGGAAACTTTAGAATTAATATGTCTTAAGTTGGCAACACCTTTTACGTTGACGTTGACTGCCAACCTATAGATGAAAAGTTACCAAAAACATGCCAAAAACAGTATTATAATGGACCTCTTTGTGATACTGTTTTTGCCGAAAACAGTTGTACAAAAAAGCCATTGTAAACACCGAAATAGAAAAAATATATTCCATGGAAAAGGGGAAATGCAGAAGCGTATTTAATAGGTCTACCGTCTAAATGTGGCCGATATTGCCTGAGCCAGATATACCTACTTGTGTATGGATGATCGATGTATAGTAACACTAACAATAAATAACGGAAGCGCGCTTTGAAGTTTAAGTTGTTAGAATTTCATATATGGACAATACTGTATATGTACCGTTTCATACTGATAGTAGGCGTGAGTCGGTTTAAAGGCGATAAGCGAGCGTATTTAGAACGCGTGGGTTGTTAACAATATAGCCGCGAAACTTTTTTGGTTCTGTGGTTTCCTTGTGCCAAAACGAAAACACAACGTATATATGATTAGCTGAGAAGAGACGCAGTCCCGAGATTTTGCGTTGGGCCCGGTTTGGGTTTTCTACTCGGCAGTTATAAATACCATAGAAAGGGGATAGATAGATGCAGGCATCAATCGCAATAGCCTGCTGATCTGCTCGGGTTACGATTAATAAAATTAGATCGCGCGGTTAGTGTAAAAATATTTGTAAATGTGTCGAGTATTACTTGCATAGGATACGAAGATTTCGACGAAACGGAAGAATCTAAGCAGACACTTTCTCTAAACCATGTAAAGTTAGTGAAATCCTCGCTGTAGTTAGAAAAGTTTTAATAAAGTTAATCGTGACCGTGCAGTTCTGACCGCAAAAAAAGTAAAGGTATTTGTTGCATTATTAAAAGATAAAAACATTAATGTGGCAAATGAGCCAAACGTTGTTTTTAATTATGTTAGTGAACTGAACTTGAACTATCCCTTATACCCTTATAACGGGTGACAGCAATTTCAACAGTTTTATTTATTGTTCAACGTAGGGAAATATACACCGCTTCATGCGAAAAATGAATCTAAGTAGGTATAGCGATAAAACGCATGTAGTTCAGAAAAGTGTCCGGGGTTTATCTTTTGCAATTAAGCGGCGGATGTATTAGGGGAAAGTGTGCGTTTTTATCGCGATGTCTTTGGTCCTCAAAACCGCGTCGGTTCCATTTGAAACCGGTTGAAAAAGTCAAAATGTGAGTTTTCTATTGGTTAGTAGAGCACGCTAATATTGAGGTTGTTGCGTTCAGAAAATCGGTGCCGAATCGGTTTTTCTAGCGGGCGAAATACACAAATGGCTGACGAAGTGGGAAAGCCGGCATTCCTAGCCTACTTTGGAAGTGACATTTATATACGCCAGAAACTATAAATAAAGGTTTGGATTCAACGGCATATGGTAAAAGATTTTAAAGACAATTAATCTGTGCATTTACTTGCAGAAAAAACAAAAACAAAAATGTATTCACTAATTGCGCTGGTGGTACATAAAAATGGCCATCTGCTATAAATTTTACGCTGTTCTTGGTTTGCTCTCTTCAATTATTTACAATTTCGTCGTGAAAACGGCAATACATGAACTTAATTTTTTTAATTCAAAGTGAAATGGTCTGAGAGGATTGGGTTTTCCGTAATTGAGATGTGGAAGTGTAATTTTCGACGACTTATGGGCTTTAGTGCTCAAGATATGTTTACCCATAAAGAAACATTTTGGAGTCAAGCGCCCTACTTAATCCTAGAGACGCATTTGATGGCAACCCTACAGGAAACGCAAAAGGGGGTGGAAAAATCAAATATGTTAACTTTCCCCTGTAGCGGTATGTCAACAGGTACGGTAAATGTCCTTTCGGGTATCCCACCGTGCGTGTTGGACGCTACATCAAAGAGTTTGTATCCGGCGCTAAAAAATGAGACATGACAGTATAGCAAGTTAAAAGACTGTTTACAACATGTCAACCATCAAAAGTTACAAATTTCGACAAAATCGTGAATATGGTGCTAGAAGAAGAGGAATCAGAAGGTGCCTTTTAAAATGATCGTAGTGGCACCTAACGGTGGGTATCCGTATGGACCCAAAAATTTCTATGCACTACGGCCGGAAATCTTATACGGTGCCGAGGTATGGAGTGCTCGCAGTAACGACTCCAGAGTTAGGGAAATATTGGACTCGGTTCAGCGCCCATTTTACTCGGAATCACGAGAGGGTATAGTACTACTGTACTTGGAATCAAAGCAAATCTATGAGACTTATGTCGCTGTGGCGGGTTACCGAATCGAGAAAGCGCCGTTACCGGCTCAAACAGTCCACCCGAAGGATAGAGATTTACTACGGACACTACACTCTGAAACAAACACGCTGCGAGTACGGGGCTAAAACATCAATATCGGCAAGGGCGCTATGGCTCTCATGTCCCCCACAGGTGAAAGTGTGGATCTCCCGCAACATGCTACAATCCACCAGGCGCTTTCCTGTGCGCTAAATAACAAACAAGATGTTACCATTATAATCGACTCAAAAAGTTCTGTAAGCGCAATTGCGGCATATAAAGCACATACGGCACAAAAAACGCCTGGTGGACTTGCACAACGCAGGTATCTCAGTAACACTAGTCTGGGAAGGGAAAGGGACCGGGCCTGGAGGAAGCAACCTCGTAGACACCTCGGCCCGAAAGGGAAATAGTACAGGACATGGCCCATTTGCACACTATTTTATTCGGTTTAAGCTTAAAGTAATCTTGTGCACAAATTTCAGAAGATTTTAAAGTTCTATCCTTGAAAATACATCAAATTTCTTATTCTAGCCTTGTAATTTTAACACATATCCATCAGTTGTAGTTTTATTAATTCCCGTCTGTCAGCAAAGAAATTCATTATTCAATTGAGTTGCATTGGTTAATCACAAATCAATGATTCAGGGTCTAACACACCTGTGTCGCGTACCGTCTGTATGTATCAAACTTTCAGCTGTACTTAAACAGTTCAGTTGGAATAATTCTGCTAGAAGCGCAACGTAAAGTTGGAATAATGGAGTAGGGAACGTATTTAGGTGGTAAATAAGAAGTAGGTTAATGGTAATAACACTAGCCGATTCCCGCCTCCACTAACAAACCATCTTTGGTGTTTTTCCTCCTCGGGGTCGACTCGACCTCGTATAAAATGAGTAATAATAGGCGGCCGAGGAGCGTAATGCTTGCCACACTACATCTCTAGAAATGTTTTCAGTTATGGCCGGCCTTACCCTTTATTATGAGTATTTAGACGGTACTAATTTGTATGTATAGATTCGCTTTAGCGGAATCCCTTTAAATTCAAAAAACTTATATCTATTAGTTATTACACATATGTTTCCCCTTGCGTGTTATTATTATCAAATCTATGCGCAACGCACTGTTTACCAAATGATGGCAGCATACAAATCTGGTCATATTAAGATGGTACGAACCTGTACGTTTCATCATCTTATACATTAAGAATCCTATAACAAATCTACGGATTGATCGATGGTGACCAATCGCAGTATCCGTTCTAACGTTAATAATTTCATATATATGTGTTGCCCTTTCACTTTGATTCACGTAGCTGTCATCGCTAAACGCAATTTATACCGAAATATCCAAATCCTCCCCGTCCATCTCCCACCAGAAAAAGTGTAAACATAAATATCAATACGTTTGGGATTATATTAAAGTAAGTAAACTTTATGGGATCGTAAAGAACCGATTAAAGGGCGGAACTAATAGCTTCTTTGCAACGTACGCCTTGTACTGTAAAAATGCTATTTGTATAGCATTAATCCGTGGCCTAATAAAAGTAAGGCCAAGAATAACTATGCGCTCTAAATTTTAATGATCTTGAAATTATGCAACCTTGACTGCGACCGGTATACAGCTTTCAAGATTGTGAAAAAGTAGAAAAACCGGTACGGAACTTTCATTTAAATGGAAAACGAGCTTCCGCCGTTTAAGTAATTTATTTCTGTGCATACCTTTACAAGCTTCTCGCCTACCATTTAACCTAATTACGATTTATGCATCTTTTGTAGACAAGGCATTTGAATAATTGGATGGAGATTTAAGCTC